CATGCCCTCATTAAAGCGATAGGGATGTGAAGGTCATCCAGTTAAGATAAGTTGTGGAAGTCCAAGGCATGCACACATTCCTTTTTATAATGGCATATGCTGGAATTTCATCCTTTATCTTTATGAAGACTTCTTGTAGATTCACTTAGTACAACGCTGGATCCCGAGAGATCAGTTGAGTATCATCTCTCGAAGGTAACAGTTGAGTATCAGCACTCCAAAATCAAACGTAAGGAATGCTTTACGGTATTATGCGAGTATCAACGTACCGAACGAAGTACACGGAAGGAATCCTTTAAGGTAGCAGTTGACTATGCCCTAATGCCAATACAAGTATGTTTTAAGGTAGCAGCTGAGTAGCAATGCCCCAAAGCCACGTAAGAAATCCTTTATAGTAGTTGAAGCTACAATACATTATTCTTTTTACTCTCATTAACTGAAATGTCGCTGAAAAATATTTTAATTTCTATTTATACTTTAATTTATGATACTGTCGAATTAACATATTGTAACTTTACAACTGTTTTAATAATAAGGTGGGTACTTTATTGAAGCTAGAAAGCATTTTTCAAAATAATACATGTAAAATAATACATGAGCGTTTGTCACGATCCGGAACCGCATTGCGGTGGCAGGTGCAGTCATTAACAAACATGACAATTTGTTCTCCACGGGCTTTAGAGATGCACACCTCAGTGGAATACATTATTATATTTTCAGGTGGCATTGGCACAGAAGGTTTTGATACGTAACGCGTCTATTGGTAATAAAGATTCATGTGACTGGTCATTGGGAATTTGTTTTCTCTGGCGGCTTTTCTTCCACTATAAAGCTCAGTGGTGTCAATGCCACCGGATAATATTGTCACTGACGTCTTGAGCAACACCTTTCCATAAGTTAAAAACTACTAGTTTTTCAACAACAACAACAACACTTTACCCTCAGGCAGTTAAAGCAGCAGAATGCAAGGTATATCCACCCGCTGACATCATGTGTCGTTATTGAATTTTATTTTAAAGCACGTGCTGTCAGAAAGGCAGCACGAGAAATATTCGAAAATACAGAGCGTGAGATTTCATGTATGGTTTTACAATTTCCTCTTGATGCACCACTGCTTCCAAACCGCTTCCCCATATGTCGAATTTGCATTGAATAGTTTTTACCTTCATTTAAGTATACATAATGTGATACATTAACATTTGGTTTAAAATGCATGCCCCAGGAAGAATGTCAACGATCTCTATCAAACAGTAATCTCATTAAAACTTAGATCATATATTGCAAAGAATTTGTTTTTGCATATTCTCCGTAAAACTTTTAACAAACACAGATAACACACAGTTCAAAACTTGTTTTATTTAGCCTAAGCACTTTAAACTCTTGCCGATTCTTTGTCAAAGCGACAATTACAAAACAGAGACAAACAATAAACACGAAAAACGACAACGCTGAAATTAGAAATCTGTACGTGTGTACAGATCTAACAGAAGCATTATTTCAAAATTTTGAATATAGGGCCTTATTGGTTGAATTCCGATGATAGCATGACAGCCTAGTTGGTATTAACCTACAAAAGGTTGGACAAGAGTACTATCTCTGTGTTAATATAAAGTAACGGAACCTTAGATTATTAGTTGTTTTCACAGATGTCACGAGTGTGTTCGCAAATACTAACAATGCAAAGTGCTCGAACCTTGCGCCACCATTTTGAGTCTCTAATAAACCTTTATCAACACGAATTATCACGTATATTCAATATAAAAATCAGATTTATTTATTGATAAGAATGTTTACTTAATCGAACTGATACATTGATTATGCTTGAAATTATGTTGCCCCTATAGCATGAAAATAAAAATAAAATTCTATGTTCCCTGGTTTTTATCGAAAGAAAAAAAGTGAAGTTGAACTGTAATCGAGCATATTGCTATCAAATATAACTGCAGTTCTTTTATAAATGTTGTCTTTAAAAAAATATTTTGTATGATGTCCCTAATATTGTCACTTTGAAAGAGTATTTCCTGACAATTTTCTTCGGGTTAAGAAAATAAAAGTTCGTAGCATGTATCTATACCAGAACTTTAACGAACAAATACATTTCGCGAAAACACGTGCTTGTGGCAATGAGAGCTGACAAACCAATTTTAGTAAGTACGGTCAGATATTGTATTTTTGGTGGAGATGATGGACATAGGATGATATTAAATGTAAGCAATAACCGTTCAAAGACGTTTCATCTTCAATGTAGTCAGACGAAACTTTTGTCTAACGGAGCATGAAGCTGTACAGAACGTGAAAACCGATTATTCTTGAAATGCTTTTAGAACTATGAAATTATATATTAGCGATTGTGTTTTTAAAACATGAGATCTAACTAAATGATTGATTTTAGTCCATGTAAATTGAAAATCATTACATGTTTCTACTTGTTTGTGTATCCATTTGTTTATGAGACTTTTTAGTGATTGATATATTTGTTTATGAAAGAATAACGAAGACGGTTGAAATGTCACTGTTTTACTTGAAGAAGAAAGGGGAAAGTCAAGCATTTGGTCTCGTGCGGTTGACATGCACAATAGAATGTGATGCATTTTTATATACCTACGTAAATACGAGACTTGCCTCAATAATTATGTGGGAAGAACAATGTTGTTATGTACCGGTTTGAGACCCAAAATGGCGGATACAAAAGTACACACTGATATCCTGGGCAATTCATCGTCTCTTTAATAAAGACCACCCACCCCACAAAAAGTCCTACTAACACAAACAAGAACTTAAAAGGTAAACATAATTCATAAGGAATGATAAAGCACCTGACCGTAGTAACGAGGAAATAAGAGGCAGGCGAGAAAAGGGATTACATTGAATATAAATTACCCGAAATGTACATCAGCTCACAGCAGGACTAAATCCAAGTGATAACAGCTGTTTATTTCTGTATTGATACATCTATGATAAGGTCTTGTTGGTTTGCGGTCTTAGTGCGAAGGTGCATTAGTGCTTAGAAATTTAATCTTGTATAAAGTTACCTGTATAGTGTTGGGTAAAACAACTGACAGCTATTTAGATATATCGGTGGAGAAGCTGTGAAGCTTTCAAGAAGAAGATGATAAAAGAAGATTAGTCTGCCAAAGAAGATTGTCGAATAACAGTCGTCACTTGAATAACAGGAACTTTTTAAATCTAGATATTTAACTACTGCATTTCAGTTTAATTGTACCCTAATTTTGAACCAAAAGAATGACATTTTATATTTGTTTGTTAGAGTGTCCCTTCGTTTCTTCGATTGCCTAATTGTTGGTTGAGTGATGCGGGAACGCATTTATGGAATTATGTTTCTGGAAGGAAATAGATTGCAAAACAATTGAAAATAACACTACCCTTGTTTGTGCTTTTTAGTGTGTAACTTTGTACTTTATTGTAACAAATATATGTCTCATTTTATAAGGCTCTATATTCCTCCCACAGTTGCCGGATTTTCTACGGCTCAAAACTTGAAAATTTATAAAGTTTCGCCATATTTTCCCCTGAGGTTCTGACAGTTAAAGTTAGTTGACTCATTTGGGAAAAAAGACGATATTACTGCGGTGCTGTCCACGTCAGTCATATTATACAGTACAATCATCCGTCTAGAATGTGCGAAGAATAGGTGGTCATAAATAGTTATGTGTAATAAATAACGATAACGTTTCAACTGTCAGTGGAGTCAAATTTTAACGTTATTGCGGCAGATTTTTATTGAAAATTTTAAGAAAATTATGCCATTTCAATGACCTTAAGCTATTGCTTCCACTGCTTTAGTGATGACGCATCAGTGAGTGGCTGTGACGCTGTTGAAGTTATTATGACGTAAAAACAGCCAATACATAATAGTCACCATTTACATCAAATGTCTTTTTCTAGCATGTTACTGAAAGGGCAGAGGACGTTCCGATTGCTCGTGACCAATTATATTTAACACGTTTTATAATGTTCGCTTGAGGACTCGTTTAAGACACTCCTTTTATTTAGTAAGTGCTTGATATGCAGTCTGTGTGTAAATATACTTTACTTTCCATATGATAAACGACAAATGATGAAATAAATTATAAGTTCGATATTAAGTAATGCATTAGAAAAATACAATTTATTTTTAGTACGCTAGAGTATTAAGACAGCAGACTAAGGTAACGGTTTTGTGCTAATGTTTAATACCTTTTTAAAGTTACTTTCTTTGATTTAGTGCTTCTTGGTGCAATGATATTAGGAGTTTTACAGCGTAAACTTGACATGGTATCCTTTGGATCCACAGTTCCGAAGTGTACCTATATTTTACCCACGCAAACAGAGCGTCCGCGTCAGACGCGGAGGTCGCTAGTTTGAACCCCAGCCGCGTCGTACCAAAAAGAGTTATAAAAAATGGTACTAGCAGCTGCCTCGCTTGGGTCTCAGCTCTAACAGGTCAATGTTAGGCCTGGTCGACTTGGTGTCAAAATAATAGGACTAGGCGGAATATGATGCTACATGTCTGCGGCATGATCAGGGCCGACAATGGGGGGGGGGACAACCGGGGATATATCCTCTTGACCCCGGACCATAAGGAGGCCCAGGCCGAACAACCCTTTTGTAATTTTATAAAAGAAAAAGGTTGCTTGAACAAGAACTAGGAAAGGCCGGATGTTTATTACCCCAGAGTTCTTTGATCACTATTTACGGCCCAGGGCATGGTGCCCTTGTGCTAGACATCACTATAAACTGCCACGCTACTGACATTGTACGAAAAGTGTAATTGTTGTGTTGTGATTTGGATTTTAACGTAGCTTTACAAAAATTCAGTCATATCGCTAAAATGTCGGCAGTGTGGCAGTTTATAGTGATGGGGCATCATGCCACAGACATGTAGCATGACGTCCCACACAGTCACATTATCGTGACACCAGGCCGACCATTCCTACCACTAACCTCTTAATACTGAGTGACAAGCGAGGCAGCTGTTAGCACCATTGTTATAAGTATTTTGTATGACTAGGCCGGGGATCGAACCCACGACCTCCCGCATTTCTGGTGGACGCTCTAAACACTAGGCCACCGGAGCGGTTACAAAAAGTGTTGAAAAATGACTTAAATATGTTGTCACATTGCAGCAGAATATCTGGTTCTAATTTATTGACTTAGTAATTTCAAACTAAAGAGTTTAGTTTCCGATCACTTGGTAAAGTATGCATAAATATGGTGGCTAGTTATATTTGGATATATACGGTACTTCCTCACAACCGTAACGAATACTGAATGACAATGGTGATTATGTATTCATGTCCGGTCAATATGTATTTTTTTTCAATAAATGAACACAAAACAGATATAGTTAACGTATCCTCCATGCGAGACGTCCGAATACACGTTGAGTATTTTGTACACTCGTGACTATGTACGTGAAAGACATTCTTCCGTTATTGGCTTATAATACAAACAAAAGCATCAATGTACAAAAATCAGGTCGTTAAATTCTTTATTAAATTTACCAAATGTCATTACATTGTTACATAAAGATGCTTTGTCATTACAAAACCAGACCCAGTGTTTTGCAGTGTCATTGTTTTCCAATCAACACCTTAAAATCAATATGTCCTTCTAGGGCCCGACTAATACACCGATCCGGACAAAATTCTGAATTGTATCAGAGCAATGCATCAGTCTATAGACTCTAAATACGCTTCTCTGCGTATTGCAGCCACAGTTCGGTTTAGCGACAAAAGTCTACCGGTCGCTATTGTAATAAGACTTGTGGTACTGTGTCATGTTCTATCCGGATAAACAATGTCTTAAGCTTAGTGTGAAATACTTATTAGGTAAGTACATATTACTTATGATGGTCATTTTTACCGTACGATGAATAATTCAACTAGCAAGTGAGTATATTTTTCGAGAAACTGCGAATGTACTACTCGTTGTTGTTTTTGTTATTATTATTATTATTATTATTATTATTAGTAGTAGTAGTAGTAGTAGTAGTAGTAGTAGTAGTAGTAGTAGTAGTAGTAGTATCCACACAATAAAATTGGCAGGTGTATTCAATAAAAGGAAAATATTTACATCAAGTGTGACCATTTCAAATGAAATTAACATTTGTTTATAATGTGTATAATGTTTTAGCATCTTCATGTCGCATTTGTCATCACCAGTGCCGTTTTAAGGCATAGGCACGCGAGGCACGTGCATAGTGCCCAGCGCAGTAGAGGGCCAGGCGGTGGCCCAAAAACTAAATTTTGGTGTCGGTTGTGTTAACTGTTTAGTACTATGTTAATAAATTTAACAAAATGACATACATGCACATGGAAATGCAATGCAATACTCAATATCTGAGACTGAAAGACTGAGGCGCAGTTCTGGTTACTTTTAAGGTTAAAGTTAGTGCCTAGGGCTGGCCCCCAACCTTCTTAAAACAACTCTGGTCATCACTCTCATCGTTGTTGTCGTCGTCGTCGTCGAAGTTCAGCAGTGCTGCCGAACTCAGCCAGACAGACTTCGCGGGCGATCTAATTAGAATTTCTCAGGTTTATTTTTTCCGATCCAAAAACACTTAGCTTGATACAGAGCGTAGGAGAGAGAACAAAACATGAAAGAAGCTGGAGTTTCTCAAGCGAAGTTAGGTATCTCAGTCTGGTTCCTTATCTTTGGCGCTGAATCCAATAACCGAATATCCAGTCTAGAATCGATTCCATAAAGCTCTTCCCAGGCTAGACACATAAAACATCAGATCGGAATTTATAACTCGACTCGAGATCTTCCTACTCGTCGGGTTAATTTTAAACACCTGTATCTTCGTGCGCTGTAGGTTAAAACAATCGCTTGAGAACATTGCAGGTTACGACCTCAACCCAACAATTACATGCATTTTTAACATCTAATCACTCTCTAACTGTCAATATTTCTTGACTGATTGAGTCATTTACTTTTGTATGTTAAATGAAATTTTGAAATATTGACAGAAATAATGTCGTGCTCTCTTATCTTATAGTAAACACAAACGCGCGCGTACACAAACACGTGCAAATCTGGATCAGCTGTAATTATGATTCACACACTTAAGTGTTCTTTGTATGTTTCTATTGTATGGTCATATTAGTGTCTGTTGAAACAAATTTAAAGGAAAGTCTGTAAATCACCGGTAGCTTTCAGTGTTTATAATTAGTGCTAGGAATTAGTCTTAAACTACATCATTGAAGAAAGAAAGACCGAAAGCAACAAGTTTAGTAAAATCAATAAACACTTTATTTCTCTAAATTTCAAAGTGAACATAACATGTAAGAGACATTTAAGCATTGTAAATTAAATCCCAAATAATCCTAAATGTCATATCACAAATCCAAAAGTATATAATATTCCGAATGATTTCTTTTCAGATTATATCTGGACACAAGTATAAATGATTTGACTGACTGATATATATATATATATATATATATATATATATATATATATATATATATATATATATATATATATATATACATTCTTGATCTACCACAATAGTTTTCACTAATTCTAATAACATTTCACTAACTTAGGAGCAAGGCTAGGCCTTGAACTCAAATTTTAGGAAACGTCTTTATTACTTACAATGAACCGCGAGTGGCCGAGAGGTCTAAGGCGCTCACCGTTACGGATCACTGCCATCTCACCTCTGTCTGCGCGGTTGAGTCTAGGGCTCGGCCAAGGTGGGTTTGTGAGAAAGCTTGCCAGTAGCTTCTTATGGGTCGGTGTTTCTTTCCGGGTTCGTCCTCTACCTTTATACTGGCCGCCACGTACAGCCTATCTTGTGCTCAAAAATGGCATTAAGCCTACAACAACATCAACAACAGCAACTACTACTACTTATTACACTCATGACAAAAGCCATGTAGGCAAAAAGTCTAACCATAACCCTCAATCACGGACAAAAACTAAGAACAGAATATAAATATGCATATCATTGTATATAATATTTATGATCAGCGTTTATAAAATAACTTTATGATTCATTTCTGGACCCTCAACATAGATTAGCAGTCACTCCAGCTGCATTTCGTTTATGCCTTTAAACTAATCAGTCAAATTTGTATCCGCTCATATCTAATATTTTGGCTTTTTGCTGTACCACAATTTCCACTTGCTGACTTCGTCCTCTCTCTCTCTCTCTCTCTCTCTCTCTCTCTCTCTCTCTCTCTCTCTCTCTCTCTCTCTCTCTCTCTCTCTCTCTGAAAATTAAAGGTGCGAGATTGTTGATAATAATAATAATAATAATAATAATAATAATAATAATAATAATAATAATAATAATAATAATATTATTATTATTATTATTATTATTATTATTATTATTATTATTATTATTATTATTATTATTATTATTATTATTATTTGCTCTTTCAAACCAAATAGGTTGAATTCAATTCCGAAAATAATTTATGGCTGCATAATTTGGCAATATCTACGCGCCATTGATCACAACAATTATACCTCTTACAAAATATAATTGCAGTTCCACAGGCAATCAGCATCAGCTATGCAGTCTTTTTATGATTGCTTAGTTCTCTTTATTTGATTATTTTTTTCAACATTGTTTTTCTTAATCTCAATCTTCACTTCTTTGTCTTTCCGTTCAAATTTAATCATATGTTGCTGTATTTCACCGCAAATAGAACCTAACATCTTTATACTCATAATCACAGCAACCAATAATTGTAAATCAATAACACTTTTGGTCTATTTCGTAGAAAACCAATTTTCCATGTACTTCCAGATCGGCCGGCACAATAATGCTGACTATTTGGGGAAATAATTATCTCATTCGTTTTAATAATTAATTCGTTATCTTTGCTCTATCTCAAGGAGAGTGTAACCAATTTTCTCAATTAGTATATAAATCACCAATTATAGTAATGCACACCGGAAGGTAAGGTTAAACAGTGCATGCTGGGAACATTGTACTTGAAGCTGAAGCTAAATTACATATCACAACTCTCTCTCTCACTCACTCTCTCTCTCACTCTCTCTCTCTCTCTCTCTCTCTCTCTCTCTCTCTCTCTCTCTCTCTCTCTCTCTCTCTCTCTCTCTCTCATGAATCAATTAATTTAAAAGCAGCAAGTATGCTACATATATTGCTCAAATGTGCACATCTGCTTTTGTTTTGTTCCTATTGTAGCAAACTGTGATGTTATTCTTAGTGCATAATTATATGCGATAACTTACAATTAGTAAAGCACAATTATGGCAGTCCGATAGATCACACGTTTCATGATATCATGATATCCTGATATAATGATTTCCTGAGAGATACCAAAAAACCCAAAGAATATCGATCCCAGTGTTGTTAGATAACATGCAAATATTTTGCACTCAGTTCTTCTTCTGTCAGGTGACTTTATTTAACGGTAATTTGTTGCGCATTCAGTCTTTCATTAGCCCGGTGATTGTATTTGACTTGTATTGCACTTAGTCCATCATCTGCCCGGTGATTGTATTTGACTTGTATTGCACTTAGTCCTTCATCTGCCCGGTGATTGTATTTGACTTGTATTGCACTTAGTCCTTCATCTGCCCGGTGATTGTATTTGACTTGTATTGCACTTAGTCCTTCATCTGCCCGGTGATTGTATTTGACTTGTATTGCACTTAGTCCTTCATCTGCCCGGTGATTTTATTTGACTTGTATTGCACTTAGTCCTTCATCAGCCCGGTGATTTTATTTGACTTGTATTGCACTTAGTCCTTCATCTGCCCGGTGATTGTATTTGACTGGTATTGCACTTAGTCCTTCAGCAGCCACATGATTGCATTTAATATTCCGAGTTTGAAAAATTAGCGTCTGATACGATAGACAGAGTAAATTCTGGACGGTATTTTAACTTTTAAATTCAATTTAAGACATATGAGCAAAAGAAGTACAAAAAAATTCCTTGTTTGTACTAATTTAGTTTCAATTTAGAAATTCAATAAAGAAAATTAAGATTTTTTTAAATTTTTATCGAATGCCATTTTATTTATGAGAATATAAACTATTTAAAATAATGACTTTCAGAAAAAGAGAATAACCGTATCATTAAAAATATATTA